TTTCTCCAGGACAAAGACTTATTGAAAGGCGAAGGTACCAATGAAATATATGATGTAATTTTTGGGATCAAGAGGTTTATTTTGCACAAACAATGATACAATAAGCACATAGTAATAACAGAACAAATGTTTAACAAGAGAAGAAATGTTAAAATAGCCTTTGAAGAGTTTTCATCTTTTTGCGTTTTCTTCTCAAATGCCAGTCACTATTGTGCTCATTGTCAACTCTCGTTTCCCCTATGTACGCATGCTGTTCATTTCCCAGCTCCAGTGTATGAATCATATGGTTTACTTGATCATTTATCGCAGAATTCTCACAATTAAGATTTCCATTGGCTCACTATCACTTGGTTTGACCCCATTGAAACAATTTGTAGTGTTTTTGAAGGGAGAGTTTCCACCAATGCAACTCCTAATTCCTAATTTCTTCGCAACTGAGTTTTGTTCAATAAAAAATCTTCACCATCAACAAATTTTTTTTAAAGAAAGGTCATTATTTTCTTCCGAGTATTGTATTTTAGAAGGAAGTATAATTCTTACAAAGTGGTTTTAACCAATCTCCACGCTTCTTTATATCTGACCGCATGTTCTGTGGCAGTGACTGTACAATTTGACTTTTTGCAGAACCTCTCCGATAGAAAACCCACATTTATAAAATGAAAATCCGGGGCACAAAACAAATTTATGATTAAGGAGGATTTCATATGTAATAAAAAGCTATTATTAGGATCACATTACGTACTCAGAAATAATTTGTTCCTTTCGGTACTAGTCGATTCCCAGACAAAAACAGTGTTGCAGAAATGTCATACTATACCAAATTATATTTATATCCGTATTTCCTGCGAGGGCACCTCAATGGATATTTCATACTTTGGGCAACATTTTATTTCTACGTCATTGACTCCATCTTATCAAAAGGAGTTGGAAACGGACACATTTCTGCGCTCCGACTGCAGAGGCAGGTAGATAGGGTCAGCCCCCTGACCTCTTCACGTGTAAGTGTGCTGTTGAATTCCGAAAACCACCAACGCCCACGCGGATGGTTGCACCGTGAACACATCCAATCAAAAAAGCCAGCAGATCGAAGCTTCTGATGATGTCGAATCTGTTGATCTGTTTGGCCAAGGCGTTCCCCATTTGTTGTGCTCTGGCGCCACTATACAGCTGCAATCGGCTCAGAAAAATCTCAGAACAAGGGAGAGGAGGTACAGTGGAAGAGAGAGATACAGAAATTAAGTGAAAGCAGGGAGTGGGGAAGAGATGGAGAGTATTATCGAGTTAAAATATTGACCTTACCTATTCATTGTCCACCGATGAACTATCGCTATCTTCAGTTTCTTCGCGTTAGTTTTCCGAATTTACATTTATAGCAATGTCTATAATGTCATTCCCTGTACCATCCCTTTCTCAGTATCCTTTCCAGACTTGAGTAGTGCCGGGTGTTAGCCTAGAATGGGAGCTCTACGACTTTTTGTTATTGATGTGTTCTCATATACTCGTACATTTCTTTCCTTTATAAGTCTCTTAATTTTTGCCCTTGGAATTTCTATAGAACTCAGTTCAGACATATAAGGAGAGAGTCGAATGATTGAATGAGCCCTGCTGGTAAACAAGTTCATCAATTTTGTAAGTTTTGTTCTGAGGTTTAAATTACAGAAGTAGTTGGTGTAATTCAGACTTTCTCAGTTTTTCATTTATGTGCATTCCCTTTCCATTCAACTGTAGAATCATAGCGCGCTTTATTGAATATTCAGGTGGGGTTTTACTAGGTAACACACTGTGATATGGGGCATTATCAAGAACAACTATTGCCTTAGAAGGTTAGCTTTCTAATACTTTTTCTCTCGCACACTTTTCAAAATTTCTTATTTATCTGGCCATGGTAATCGTCTGATGCAGGCGATTTGAATATTAGTTCTTCGTCATTAATGAAACCATTGTTTCCGCCAGCGTGATCTCAATTAGTCTAACTAATGCACTTATTTTTGCCGTTACACTAAGTACATCATGCTGCCAGGACTTTTTAAATACTAAGCTGTTGTCTATCCACATTTCGTCAAAAACACCATTTCACGTCCTTCTCTTTTCTTCATTTGGACGATATATCTTGCTCTCCAATAAAATCTGCTCTCTCGACCGACTCTGCTTTTTGAAATTACACTTCCATCTGAATACAATCTTATTCTTCTCACCATAGTGACTTTTCTCATCAAGGCAAATTGATATTTTCTTTTACTGTGGGCAACATTTTTGATATCGTAGACATGCTTTTCACGGACATAAAAATCAAAGACAGCATTTCTAATTACGCACACGTCAAACTCATCAATTTTCACTGCGTGGCGACGAAACACTTCTTTTCTTATCTGAGGAAATAAGTCGTCTGTCAGCACTTCTTTCATTTCATGAATTATTTTATTTTTCGAATTGTTTTAATACTAGTTACTCCAACACCAGTGAATGCCGCGGCTCTTTGTGGCTTTTGTCAGAGGAACTAGAAGATGATTTGCTCTCTTCTTTCCCGTTTCATCTATGTAAGCATGCTGTTCATTTCCCAGCTCCAGTATATGAATCATATGGTTTGCTTTGCTCATTTATCGCAGAATCCTCACAAATTATAGATTTCCATTGGCTCACTATCACTTGGTTGATTGGCCAATTGAAACAATTTCTAGTGTTTTTGAAGGGAGAGTTTCCACCATGTGCCTCAATTGCACTCATTATCTCCACATCTTCACTGTGAATTGTCGAATTAGATTTCCGCTTCGCCATTTTATGTCATAACGCGCACTCTGAATCAAAACTGAGATATTTGCGAAACCAGTGCATTGACCAAGTGCCCGTACGCCCTTTCCTGCAGCCCATGTGTGACTCAGACGTCTGTCAAACAAATCCTGTATACAGCCAAAAACAAAAAAAGGAGGTAAAGAAAAAAATTAAGAATAAAAAGAAAAAAAAAAACAATGAAAAAAATCGATCATAAAAATATCTTATTTGAAAAACCATTACGTTTGTGTATATATGCTAATAATTTAGAACTCACTTAAATTAATGTTATACTGTTAAAAATTAATATAAATTGCATTATTTCATTAGACCTGAAGATGAGGGTGCAAAAGTTCTAGAAACGTTGTTCAAGACTGAAAATTCATAGTCTTAAGATTCATTTGTAGTTATGAAATATGAGACAAATTTCTGGGGTCTAATTTTAATTAATTTATATGCTAGGCCAGACAGATCCATTTAAAATTTTAAAGGGACTTGTTTCATAAGATGAATAAAACAGTAAGTCAGTATAAAATTGTAAATCATACAGCCAATCGCTTTATCATGCTCCCTCCACTTTGCAAAGAAACAAGACCCCTGACAGGTTGGTCTGGGCCGTAACTCGGAAGCAAAGTATTTTTTTTGTCTTGGTGCAATTCAAACTCCTATTCTTGGGCACTTCAACATTAACACTAATGTGCTTATTATTTAATCTGTATTTCAATTGTGCCGTAATTGCCACGTACAAGAACTATTAATTCCATAACTTCTACAGTAAGTTACAAACTGTGCCTGTTTACAGAGCCATGTACTGAAATTTGTGCAGCATGCTAATCGCAGTGATCGTGAACCAAATTGTGTCTTGCACTTGGGCAGAACTCCCTGTGTGCGCTTAGGTGCACACAGAAGGGGGGGGGAGGGGTGCTTGAATGAGGGCCTGGTGTTCACTGTCCAAGGTCCCTGGATGACATAAATGAACGGTACCAGAATTCTACGCCCCTATGCACGGGCAAAGTCTTCTATATGGTCAGCTAGTTCAGTTTTGACGCTTCAAGTTCTAGTCATGTGTATATGTCTCTCTTTCCGAGATTGTACATTTAAAGGGAATAAATGCTACTTGTTCTAATTATATTCATGCACATAAATATTATACGAAGGATTCCATGACCCATATTGAATTCACATACCCCATCTGAGCAATCTTCAGGTTCTGGCCAAGTGGCTGTAGTATATTCCATCTCATTATAGAGTCCACTTTCAATTAATTTTTATGCTAGGCCTGTCAGATGTGATTAAAAACGGTACATTATGATAGAAATTATGAAAATAAGACTAAGTAAAAAAAACAACTACAAGAGTAAAATTTTTTTCCAACCATACCATATTCTGTTATATTATTTGAGCTTTTTCAAGCTGATGGCTCTTCTGATTGCATTTAATTTTTCTTTGATGTCCTTCATACTGATAGCACAGTACTTCACAGATAAACAGTGCTTTTGGTCCCCAGATATCATTTCAAGGAAATGCGAGCAAGACAACTGGCCTCATCGGAAAGTCTTTATGAACGTTTTAAAGTGGGTATGGAATTAAAAATGTACTAAAAGAAAATCTTTACATTTCTAAGCACTATATTTTGCAATAGTTTTACTCTGCTTTGAGCAATGTGCTCTCCTTAGTATTCAAATTTCATTATCGAGAATAATGAATTTATTAAGAAATTTATTTTTATGAAGTTTACTTCCTTTTTCACTTTGATATACTGTTAATTAAACTGTTTAATAGCTTACATTATGAATTTCTTAATCTTTGTAAAAATCTTCTACTTTCATTTAAAATGTTGCATTAATATTGCATCATTCTTGCTTTTCAGTTGTGACATTTATCCAACAGTTCAAGTAATGTTACTAGCGTATTACTAACATTGATCATGTCTTGACGCTTTCAGATTGCAGAATTTTCATGAAAGTAATTCTTGAAATGTTTGGAACTTTTATACTGATGTGATGTTATACACTTAAATTATTTGGAAATGACAGTTCAAATTATTTTCAAAGATAAAGCTAATAAAGGAAGAAGAAAATTGAGCAAATAGTGTCTAGTTCTCAGTAATCCATTACATAGTGATATGTTCTAAACATTTCCAATGAAATGCTTCTGTAAAATTGCAGTGAAATTGCTAAAGGAAAACTGGAGATTTGAGAATTTAGGATCAAATTACGCAGACACAAAAATTTTTACAAAAGCTTTTATTTAAATATATAAATAGTCTTACGTTATCAAAGTAAGTCTTTCACATTCACAACCTTTGTGATGGTATTTTGTTAAGATTAAAGAAGATGGTAACTCCATTGATAAAATAAAACTGTCCTCAACTCTATCATGTACTATGTAAACAATAAATGCTATTTTCAAATGCAATTATCTCAAAGTGACTAGAAACCACACATTCCTTCAGTTTTATATAAATAATGAATTAAATTGGTTGTCAGTGAAGAGTCTTATTGAAGATTATTACATCTTCATTCATAACCATTACATTATTTCATGGAGGCAATACTTTTTTGAATTCCTGAGCATAAAATCAATCTATGAATGTGTTGCTTAATCTACACAATCCTATAACAATACAGGAAACCTTACTGTTGCTTCAGTTAAAAATTTTTTGGAAAAGGGCAGGTCACGATTTAAAAACAGAATAAATTTTAGAAATGTGTTACTTTGTTAGGAGATGTTGGTGAATCATACATTTCGTAAGTTCCTTCAGGTGTTATGGGATCAATATCTTCTGGTTTGACAATTGATATTGCTTGGGGCTGTTCAGAATAGAAATTAGGATTTAGTTGACCTCCTGGAAATGGATTCACACAATCGTATAAAACTTGATTGGAAGTTGTTCGATAATTAAGGTCTAAGATACTAGTGGAGTTTGTACATGCCAAAGAAGGAAGTGCACTCGTTAGATTGTCCCGTACAATAGCTGTCATCATTAAGTATGTTCTAGGAATAAATACTGTTACAAGTATTCCAGTAGCTGTTGCTGCAAGACCACCACTAATAGCTACATCTTTCCATTCTCTAGGTAAAACCAAATATGCAGCTGTCCAACTAATCCAAATAAGCATGCAAATAAAAGATGCTACAGTGAAAAACATTCCTTCAGAATAATTACGCTTTGAACGCACTGAAAAAGGACTAGTGCAGACTAGAAGTAAGAGAAGGAAGACATCATAACATAAGAGTATTTGAAAATTATACCCTTCATACATTGATGTACATTTTTCAGCATTGAGAAAATTTGTTCTTATTATTAGAAACTGAACACTCAAAGCAATTTGTACTCCTAAGATAAAAATACACAGAATTGATTGCATAAATCCATTAATATGACTCATGAATGGTCCATCATTATCAAAAGAAGCTAACATTAGACTTCGAGAAAGCATAATGGAAAATAAGAAAGCATAACTCATACTTGTTCCAGTAATGCGAAGTGCACAAAATAAGTTAGACAAATATTCATCTTCATCATCATACTTGAAGCTGAATGGAAGAGTTGATAAATAAGTAAATATAACAGAGAGAAGAAGCAAATATGAAAAGAAAGGATTTCCTTCAAGTATATCTCCTTTGCATATACGAACTGATATGAAAATTGTAATGGCCAGAGCACAGGTAATACCAACAGCTCCAATAGAAGTTACAGCAGCAACCCAAGCTTCTGGCCTCCACGACATTAGTTGATAAACTTGATCAAAATTTCCAATCTTATCTCCTATTTCAACTTGTTCTCCAGCAAAATTACTACAATATGAGCAGTCATTAAGGAAAGAACTATTGTTTCCATCAATATTACAGAAATCTCCTTGAAACACATCATTATAATTATCGCTAACAATTTTTATTGGAGTTTCCTCATGCTCGGGACTTTCTTCATAGATTGCAAAATCTTCTAAATTATTGTTATCCCCAATGTGACTTATAGCAGTAACAATGATATAGTCACTTGAAAGGATCATTTTCATTATAAAATCACGTTTAGGCGGTTCTGAGGAATAATTGAAATATACTGATGATAAAGTAGAACATATATAATCAGCACTATCTGGAGTGCAGTATTCTGACACAGCTGCCTTGAACTTTGACAGTATATTCAGTACAGGAAAAGCAACATTCATAAAAAGAGGATAATTTATGAATATGCGTTTCTCAGAGTGACCTGTAGCATTAAACATCTGATGATCATGGGCAAGATTCATATCTTCATGTATTTTTTTCTCTTGTAAAATGCCAATAGCAGGTAACACAACCAGAGAATTTCTTGGAGCATTTTCTGAAACAGTTATATTTAAATTACTCTATGCCATTATAAAATAACCACACGTGACAATATTTACTATTCTGTCTACTATATAACAAACATTCAATGAAATTGAAAATGAGAAAAAAAATTAATATGTTAATGTTAATTATGAAGCAGGATTCAAAAACTATTTTAACGGTGGGCATCCCCCTCCCCCTAAATATTTTCAAAATTAAAATTTTGTATTTTCCAATACAATACGTGTACTTTTATTTAAAATTATTGGCTTACTTCTTTGGTCGAGATTAAATCAATATGTGCTAACTACTTTGAAGTTAATATAATTGAATGAAAAAAAAAAAAAATGGTATGCTGGAGTGCGAAGGAAATACTATACAGTGAACTCCCTGGAGTAGTAAATTGGTTGATTAGTAATACGACTAACAATTATATTGAAAACTCTCAATTAACCTTTGACAAAAATAGAATATTCACTTTGGCATTTAAATTACATCTCCTTCACTATAAAATTTCAATAAAATAAAAAAAAATAATGAAAATTGAATGATTTCATTATTTTATACTACAGATTTTGTAAGTTCATTTTTACTTTCTCCCTACTGAGTACAGAGAAAATTATGTAATGCTGAGTGAAAAACCATGAATTTTCTGCAGAAAAACTTATTACAGGACCCTGCAAATGAAAAAGTGGATAAATTCAATCCTTAAATGTAGAGAAAATAAAACTCTCCATCACGTGGTGAAGCCCGAAACCATCTTATGTGGGTCCTCAATATCAAAAATTTGAATGATGGCAAAACACCCCTCTGTCCTATCCTAGCGGCTAAACCGATCAGACAATTTTCCCCAAAATTGATATTCCCCAATTGATTTGGCTGTCGTAGAACTCTTAAATTTGAAACATTTCAATTTCATGAAGCTCCTGGAACATTTTCCAAATTTCAAAAAAAATTGCTGTATCATTTTGATTAAATTTTGTTGATTGCTAGTGTGAAGGACATTTCAGAAAAAGCTGCAGGTCAGAAATAGATACTGATACAATTTTTCTCAAATTAAAAAAAAGAGAAATAACAAATACCTATGTCAGATCGTTGTGTCATAGTGTCAAAAGGAACCAATATCCATTGAATTGATGAATTGAGAACAGAAAGGGCTTCCACAACTGAAAGCATTTGTTCCCATGTGCCAAATAGAACTATGAGGGTATTATTGCGTTCCATAAGTACTGCTCGATGCAGAAGATGCTTCCAGTGCCTGAAAAGAATATTAATCAAATAATATAATTATAAATTAAAGATTTAGAAAATAAAAATACATTTAACCAATTAAAAGCAGAGGAAAAATTGAAAGGAGTCCCATTATCTTTTCAAATTTATTTATGCTGATTATTGGATCTGACCCAAAGTAAATGTGTTAAATTGCTAAATATACCTAATAGTTTATGATTAATAGTTTGAAAACAAACTAAAACTATGACTAAAAACTGTTTAATGCTTCTTTGGTTTGTCAGCAGAATTAAATGGATATTATTTTCTTATTGTTGGAATACTTACTGCAAGAGAAACAAGAAAACCCACCAACCCATTCAGTTGTTATGGTATATAAAATAAGGTTGTATTAAAATGTAATCCTTACATGTTTTGGAAGTCTGGTAAAACATGTTGTTTCGCTATACAAATTCCATTATGATATGATCTCTTGTTGAAAGTGTAGAGAAAAGCTTCTGATGGAGCAAATAAATAATCTACTTTTGTCCAGTTAAGAGACACCAAAACATTTACTGTTGTGTCAATTAGCAATTGTTTTGGAGACTGAGAATCCGTGAAGAAAATTAAGGTGTCATTTGAGCTTGAAACAGACAGAAGGTTCTGTTCTAACTCCGGAATGGTCAGCAATCCTGCAAAATAAATATTCTGCCAGTAGAAAAGATTCTTAGATTAACAATTACATTTCTTCTGAGCTAAAACCACTATCTAGCCATAAGAGATTTAGAAAACTAACATTTCTTGCACATGCAAATTTAGATTTTTGTAAACTTAGCTTGTAATCTCAGGATGATTCAATTAATTAAATCACAAGACATTTAGAAGAGTTTTAGAAAAGAAATTATGAATGAAATTAAACGACTAACGAGATTTTATTTGTAGTAAAAAATATAATTTGTATTAAATTGACAGCAGTACGTAAAATGTATGTTGCAACATTATAAATCATAATTTATAATATATTTTACGCATTTCTTTTTAATTTTCTCTTTAATTACCAAACATATAAGAATTTTTTAAAAAAAGTCTAAATGGAAGGGCATGATGAAAAGTCAATATTTTCTAAATGGGAAACTAGAATGAGAAATGGATTGGATAAACATTTAAGTAGGAACACAGGATGAAGTACAAACATAGGTATAAAAACCTCATTTTTTAATAAAGAGAAATAGTAATGTTGGTTTCTTATTGTCGGTAATAAGGTGATTCATATTATAAATATATGAAAAGTTCATATCATGAACTTTTAAAATTAATTTATTAATAAAGAAAAGCCAAGAAGTGTCTTTGTTCATGAATCCTAATTTTAGATTATCATATCATAAATTATTGCAAAAATAATTAATTTTAAAAAGTTGTTAAAACACTTACCTAAGTTATAACTTTTCTTACAATTTTCATTTGTGAAGCTTTTCATTAATTCATCCAAGTCTGTTGTACATGCATCGTACAAATCTATACCTATAACAGAAACATTAAACAAACAAACCAACCATTCTTTAAATTTTAAAATGCTGTTCCATTTTCAATATTCTGTATTTTTGAAGTCAATTCTACAAAATAAAATTTACCTATTTTTATACCAGGCAGGAAGTTGTTTTGATTTAGAGTATTGACTATCCAGGCAGCAGCTGCCATTTGCTGGAGACCAGTTGGGTCACCCTCAGAACAATTAGGTCCTTTGTGGATGTTGAAGAGACCTAGAAACACGAAAGCAAACTATAACACTCTTTTGGTAGCTTTCAGATATTTCTTTAACTTTGAATATTTTTTGAACTAAGGTATAATCATATCACTGCCACCAAGCAATCGAATCTGTTAGATTACAAAAAAAATATTTAAAACCAATCTGTAGTATACAAGTATTGTAGAATGCAATTTAATTGACACAATTTTCTCCTACAAGTATTGTAGAAAGCAATTTAATTGACACAATTTTCTCTTGCCTATTCTTGACAGTGGATGCATAGCTTGTCAGGAATTGTCTCACCCATGCATCCTCTTTTAACTAATAAATAGTCTTAAATTTTCTTGTTAAGTGTGATCAGCATTAACTAATTCTAATTTTAATTATCATTAATTTTAATACAAAACAAATAAAAAATGCAAATGGTTATTACTACTTTATAATATATTTTTACTTATTGTAAATGAGGGGTTCTCACAAGTGTTATATGATTATTTAGGAGGAATTCATGTGTTTGTCACAGGAGCATTATGATTGAGAGGGAATATTCAAAATACTCCTAATTTGCGTTTCATAATTTATCAACAACCCCTTTCCCCTTGGTTAATTACTGAATGCTCTTTACTAATTTTGTCAATATCATATTCTAATACAAGTGTTAACATACATGCTCATGTTGCATTCTTCTAGAATTTTCATAATTTTTCCCTGTTTACACGATCAAATGCTTCCTCCAAAATCAACTAAAGCTATAAACTCAGGAATATTAAATTCCTTTTTTCTATATGCTGGCTAATTGAGAAAATCTTGTCTATACATGATCTATTTGATCTCAAACCAGTTTCCTCAACTAGAAGAAATGTTTCCAAGATCTTGCATAATGTTAACTAAAACTTGAGCACATCTCTAGCATTTAGCAGATTTATATCTTTGAAATTGTTGCAATTCTATTGGTCACCTTTTCTTGGAGGAAAAAGTACAGATGCATTCCAATCTTCTTTTACATATCCACACTTCCAGCAGCTACTTACAAAATGCAAAAACCCGAAGAGAATTTTCAGATGCATATTTGATTAATTTCATATTTATTCCATCTTCTCCAGGTGATTTTCTATTTTTAAATTTCTTCAATGCCACCATGAGTTCATTAATGTCTGTGATAACTACATTTTCATCAAAAGCAGCAGAAAATCTAGAATATTTCTTTCACTATCATTTGATTTCCATAGATCTTGGTAATAATTGAGCCAACTTTGTGGAGATGGGGTTAATATGTGGTGTCATATTTGTTTATTTGTTTTAGTATTTTGAAAGCTTTAAGTGTCATTTTGATATCTCTCGTTCAGTTCTTTTGTACAATTTTTTCCTGAAGACTTCTGATTTTTCTTGTTTCTCTCTTTTCTAATGATATTTTTCCATTTGATTTTGTATTCAAGTATTTCCAACATTTTTTTTTTCATTTATAAGATTTTCTAGTTTATTATTCCATAACTGCAGTTTTCAATTGTTTCTGAATTTAGTTTGTGATTCTTTAAGTTTATCAGCAGTTTGTTTCAGATTATCTATTAACTGTTGCCACTCAGCATTGATATTATTAAATTCATTTTCTTCTAAAATATTATTCATTCTCTTTCTAAACATTCATCTTTTTCCAGTGCACTCCAACAATTATTTTTGAAATTTATTTCTTTGTTTTGTTTTGTTTTATTTTATATTCCTAGTAGTTCCATCTCTTTGGTAACTTCACATTTAATTTTAACACCAGAGGTTGTACACACACTGGTGTTCCACAGTAATAGATAATGCCTTCTTGTTTATTAAAACAGACAATGATAGACCTGCTACCTCGAACTCCTTGTACATTTATGTATTATTTTATGACGTTAGAAAGATTTTTACTCTCCGACAGTTCAAGGATACTAAATTTCAAAACTCTTACCATTTCATAATTTGTTCTTTATAGGGGCCCAAGCCTTTAATTGGAAGTTCTAATTCTGGATTGAAATGTTTAGCTACTACAAAATCTTCATTGTGTAGTATTGCAAGCACGAATCCATGGGAAGGGTAATGAGGAAAATTTCCACCCCCTAAAGTTTTTCATTAACTTAATTTTAACTTGTTATGAAACTTCAAGAAAAATATTTTTGAATAATCATTCAAGCAAATAAAATCTTATCGCAGCATGAGCCGAGTGTAGCCTGCGACCTTTTACAAAATCTGTAATATGACAATTGACCAAATTCCCCCCTCCCCCCCCCCATTGACAATTTATCCCTCGATCCACCCGTGAGTTTTGATTACAGACATCTGAAAATCATCTTAAAAAAGTGTTGGAATTTTGGATTTTCCATCTTCGGGGCATAAACTCTTAATAATAAATTTGAATCTTCTAAGTTTAAGTTGATCATATGAGTTTCCTGAATTTTCTGTCCACGAGAGAGGTTGTTCATAAACTTGCAGAGTGTTCCAGATTCCTTAACATTTTGTCACTATTTGTTACGTAATACGGAAACCATGGAAAATTATATTTTTTTTATAGAAAAGTGGCGATATTCATGTTCTCTCTATTGATTAGTCCTAATAATTTCCTTCTTTTTGATTAACAATATTTTAAATTAAAACACTATATCTAATTTAGTAATGATAAGACGATTATTCTTCCTCAATATATACTGAATGACAAAAGGAGTTCTTATAAGAAAATAAGCATCAGAACTTCATTTAAAAATTTCCATTCTTAAATCATTTAACAAACAAACTTGCCTGTAATTGTAGCATCTCCTCCTAATTCCAGAATAGCAGATTTTGCACATGCATTTTCAGGTTGTGCGTAGTTCACCAAGAATATACTGATGACATAAGTGCATATTGCAATATTCATTTTACTGGCATCTGAAAAAAAAGAAAAACCACCATTTTAACACAATCTTATTGTGAAAACTAACCTTTCTAAATTACGAGCAATATCGTGACAATCCTAAATATTAAATTTGTTAATAATTTGTTACAATCTTGTATATAAATTTTCTGATTCTCTTTCAAAATAAAAATAAAATGTTGCAATTCCTATCAAGACTTTAATATAATTTGTTAGAGTCCATAGTTTATTTTGTCGTTACGAAAATAATCCGTACAAAAAAATCTATTTGTCGGTTTGATGTTTGAAGAGGTTTAATTGACAAGTTGTACCAATGAAGCAATCAAACCCCGATGCAATCAAAACGTTTTCCTTGTCTTTGGACATGTCACCCTTCAGAGCCACCTGGCCAAATACCATAGCAGATGAGTTTCCTACCAATTCCGGGGGGCGGCGCGTTGTTAATGTTGCAAGTTTAACTTCGCAATAAGAGGTCTTTCACAGCACGTTCATTTGCAGAAAGCGACTCGACTACATGCCCTAGAAGTTTGAAACCTTTATCCCGAAATATGATTTATAGATTTCAGCATTAAATCAAGATGGTCCCAGACTTTAATGGATCTCTCCGAGAACCAAGGAGCGGTACTATATTTGCGCTCTGCAACTATCACTATAAAGATGGTAGATTTTAGCAATTGCTAAAACTGCTAAATATTACGAACAAATGAAAAATAGTAACTATGCTTTAAGGTCGTTGCAGTACATTTCTGAAGATTTTCATTCAGCGATTAAAGAAGAGAAAAAAAAAAAGCAGAAGAAAAAAAGCGAAATCTATCGCAAAACTCGAAATCGTGTGCGAAGTGCGAATTTGTCGTGAATCTGCGAAACTGCTAAATTGCATTTTCTAGTTTCTTTCAAGTTTGCTCCCTAATTAGGGATGAGACACCAAAAACACATCCATGTTTGAAAACAATGAGGATGACAGTGTCTATGAATTTATAAATAAGGCTTAACTGACAATAAATGAGAATAATTAAAAAAAGTAGCCTAAGAGACTGAGCGTCCAAGGTCATTTTAAGGGCCTCGGCTTCCCAGTTCGCTGCATGGAGATAGGCACGGGCAGAAGAGGAAGGCCCTACGCCTACGGCGCACGCATTATTGCTCACGCTTTTTACGCATCTTCCGCTTTTATATTTTTTGCAGTTCACACATGGCGAAATATTAAGTTAGTTTCCCCTATTTCCTGAATTGAATGAGAAAATCTAAAAACCATCAAAATTATGTGTTTTTTCGCAAATAGTTCTCTTTTAATAATAAATAGGACCCGTGGCGCAGACTGTTGCGGCCATATATAATCTCTGGTTGCGGCAACCGTCGTCTGTAACTTGGAGGCTGCACGTTCGAGTTCTGCATAGATATGGTCGTGTTTGTAATTGTCCCTTCACCCTTCATCATTCTATCATCTCAATTCACACTTCAAGGCGTAACAACCTTGTAATGATGGATACTTCTAATAAGCTGATCCTGGAAGAATTACACACGTTAATCGTGTAGCATGGTCAGTAATGGCGTATACGCCAATAATAATAATAATAATAATAATAATAATAATAATAATAATAATAATAATATTCGTAGTGCTATAAAATGCTATAGCATTGTCTTCAAAATGCAAAAAATTCCACCATCACTATAATGTTAACAGGATGTTTTGAGATCCTGGTGTTTGACGCGTGCTCTATTCCCTGAGCTAATTGTTTCTTCTCTGGGTACAAGCAACCTTCGGAAACCAGTACTCAACCACACATGGCCTTCCCAAAAACGTGGGTAAAACGCTCCCCTATTGAGACACTTCGAACAATGTATTTTGCAAATGTGCACTCACACCTAAAATATGGAATAATATTCTGGGGAAATTGCCGCCTGAAAGCACTCTCACATTCATTATCCCAAAAAAGATACTGCGAACAATGACAGCACTCATAAGCTGGAGTCTTGCAAACCCTTGTTATAAATACAGAACTAAGGGATTCTTCGCTCTACATGTGCATGTACATATTTGAAATAGTGCGTCCTTCACAAAGAAATATTTCTGTAAATAACATAGTTAAGACTTGACCCCTCACTTTTGACTGTTATCTATTACTAGTCGGACCACCACGTCAAAAGGATAACCTCTACAACGTACCCCACTCTGAACCTACACTTTTCAAAAAAGACCGCTAAATAGAGGGCATTACACTTTACAACAAACTACGCAATATATCAAAGAATCAAACAATTCATACATTTAAAAGTAAATGGAAAGTATTTCTGCTTAACATGTTCTATCAGTGTAAAGGCAATTTCAAATTACATTCTCCTTAAAAAATATAAAATAAATAACATAATTTCTTATTCCCATTAGACTTTCTGTTCATGTGAACATTTTCAAGCTGAAGCAAAGAAAAAAGAACGCATATCACCATCCTGTGAAATGATAGAAGAAAAAACTGTCAAAACTTGCACTCCTCACCATTTCAAGTATAAAATATAGAATGTACTACTATTGTTAAATTTGATGTATTGCCAAACTAATGAAGTATATTAAGATTAATAATTATAATATTATTATTTACATTAATTATATAATTATTAATTGATGTAATTATTATTATAAGTAGTAGCATTAAAATATCATATTGAAATGTTAATTATTAGCAGATAATTTATCATACGTAATAATATCTTAATCTAACTGAACAAGTATGTATTTCGTAGACAATGACCCCATCTTTTGATGCAGGTTTGTTCAGTTTCTTGATCTTTGAGCAAAGTGCTGAGATGGCTCCATATAGTATTGCTCCTAGAACAGTAATATAACCTTGCTCTCCTCCACCCAAGGCATTCATATTGGACTCGTCATACCACGTAATTGTAATGTGACTTAATAAAATATTAATTATTATTATAAAGTATGTTGGCGATTGTTGAGTAAGGATTCAGTGTGTTGATTACCATTATAACAAGTTGTTAGAGCCGAATATCAGAATATCGGAATAATTCGAAGGCGGATATTGCCAATAGCCAAACTGATGTGTTCTGGTCGATTCTGAAGTCTACCATTCAAAATTTGAAATTGGTGGTTAATAATTGAAAAACTCTTCAGGAATTGGAGGACTGAATTGTGGCGACGTCTTTGAGTTATACTCAGTAGCTGTTGATAGGAAAATAAATGTAGGTGAAAGTCGACTGCTCATTGGACAATCATCGAGACCATCTAGGGAGATAGCATCCATTGAGGTTGTAGGGCATACGTTAATTTAATATACGTTGTAAAATAATTGTATAAAATAATATGACATTAAATTCTGAATTTTCCCAGCTCAATGCTGCGCACCCCGAGTCCGGGGTCTGCCGTGTTCTTGATAGACGGGGAGATCGTAGCCGCTTTGCCCCTTCGCATAGGCACCTCTGCCACTGACAACGCACGTATTATTTACTATAAGTGAGTTTTTTACTTTTATTGATGTCAAACCAAATTGAGGAGCTTGGTTGTCGAGTAACAATAGAAAGAATTCATATTGCTGGAGCGGTTTTATCCTCTATTCTGCGTGTTCAACTGGAGAATATTCTCATGAAATCGATATATTACTGTAAATAGAATGCAAGGAAGGTGCACTTTAAATCTCTTTTTAGAAATTTACATACATAATTATGTGATAAAAACTTAAGCTATAGCGAGTTTAATTAATTAACAACGCGACTCACATTCGGCATTTATGGTCCGACCCATTCCATATATCTCGTGTATTTCAGACAAACGTTTCCTCCTCTCTGACATTTGTATCAATACTTAAAATATCATTTTAGGGACTATATCCGAACAATGTAAATTGCTCGAGAATGCTATCCGTAACCTCAACTAAACTTACACTATGAGACAGTAACAGTTGGCACTGCTCATTTTATGGCCGACTGAACACATTTCGCAGAGCGGTGTATCTTCGGCGATGCGCAATCGTTTCAAAATGTCCACAAAATATTATTACTATTATTACTATTATTTTTTTATTATTATTATTATTATTATTATTATTATTATTACTATTATTTTATTATTATTATTACTATTATTATTGTTAATAAAATTAATAAAATTGTGCACCTTCGCCTGAACGGACAATATCAAGAAGCAGGGCAGCCTGTCGGGCATTTCGAATTCTCCGTCAAGAATTCGTGGAACCTAAGTCCGAGTCTCTCTGGCCCCGCGTCCAAAGCTGCCCTCCTTCCCATTGCGCTTCAACGACTAACTCGCGAAGCTTACAAACCGACAACCTTTGAAAACAGAATGGATGATCTTCAACACTCTGAGCTTTTTTTTCTTTAATGAAAGGCAGTTGGCCCCAGATATCTTATCACCTGCTGTTAACAGGTTTCATAGTAAATGAATTGTTAAAACGCACCTTAAAATTAATAGAATATGAACGCTTATCTGCCGTCATTTGTGCACTGAGTCGACTTGCAATCGATATATCAAAAGCAGTCGATGCTGTGTCGTCTAGCGTGGGCAAGAATGTAGTATGAGCGAAGGGAATAGAGCGAGTCAGGGCCGCGCCAACACACAGTGGTGCACAAGGTGCACAGCAGAAGGGCGGCAAAAAAATAGGAATTTTTATATCTGCATTATTTTAAGTTTTTATTAATTTAAACGAAAATCGGTGATTCGATTATTCACAAATATAAAAACTTAATGTTAAATTATGTGTCGAAAAAAATAAGTACATTAATACAAAAGTATAAGTAAAACAATGTTTAGAGATTTCTTCAATTTTGTGTAATATATCTGTTACTTTAATTACTCAAGGGGCAACTGTCAAGTCGCCGTTCGACTTCACAGTCAAAAGCATGTAGAATTTATTGAGATAAACTCTAAATAAAAACTATGTAAGAAAATCCAAAACATTACAACACTGGGGCGGGAACAAATCTTTGGACAAGGGCGTAAATTACCTTGAAAAGGCCCTCGAGAAAGTTAAGTTTGAAGAGGCAGGTTTTTAAGTGAAGGGGAAGAGTGTTTCCTGCTGCAATCTACTGCACAATATGTCCAGTCCTTCGTAAATATGAAAGAGTAATTTAAATGTTTTTATGTTCAATACTATGTGGATATGATTGTATTGTTTCAGAATTGGTCTACATTCCTCATATCATTACTCGCTACATACATTGGATACTAGTATTACCAAGTACCCGATATGAAATGGTTTTGATTTTCCGAATATTGCGTATGCTGTACTCTTCTGATTTAAATTTTTAGTTTTTCATTTCGTGCTATTTAATCGTAAGTGAGGATTAAGATTTAAGGGTGCTTCATCTAACGTCATTGGCACCAATTAGAAAGTTTTTTTAAAATTAAGTAAAACGCTTTAAGAAAACCATTGGCGTGTATTCATGTCCAGCAAAAGATATCTGAAAAAAGAGACAAAATAACACTTTTATAAGTAAAATCCATACGAGTAAAATGGTCTCAAATTAGTCTCTACATTACGAAGGAAGCTAAAAAGCTTTCAGAGAGTATTAGTCAGAAATTGCTTTAAGAAGGGCTCAAATTGACAGGTCTGAAAACAAATCAATGTCAGTTTACCGAGAGCTTTGCAGGAAGTTTTGCCGAATCCTTTTGCAAGTGAGTCACCAGCAAACACGTTGACTTATGAAGCGTTTTGACTTAATGTGCAATTATGTTGCCAACGGTATCCAAGCAGTTCCTTCTTAGAATAATCTCTATACCAAACATTCCTCCTAAAGAAGGAAGGAGATGCCTCTTACCGTACCCCAGGGCACAAGACCAAGCTCCACAGATAGATCCGATCTGCATTTATCACAGGTAAGGGGCGGTTCCCCACGGAGAAGATATCCGTAGGAGAATTGACAGCGATTGATCCGAAATGGTGTAAAAATACGGGATATTTCCAATCCTCCACCAGACCCAGAACCAAGGACCCGATTTCTCTCCCCCACCCCAACGCCCCCGTGTAGTTCCAAATCCGGCCTGCTTCGCCCTTGGGCAGCGCAAGCAATCGACGGCTGGTGGAGGAGGCAAGAAAGAAACACGTTTCCCGGCGAGTGGAGGCGGCACGGCGCATGTGCGAGGTACAAGGTGCGGGAAATCGGCAGGCGCCGGGCCGCGGCGGCGTGTTTCGGAAGCCACAACCACATAAAACACATTGGCTGCTCGCCGGGATATCTGGGACGTTGCGCAACTGATGGCAAAGCATTATTGATACCTCATATTGTATTGCAAGTGCAATAAAGGAAACCTCCGCATTCTTTAACAGCCTGAATATTAGCATTACAACATCCTTCCTTTAATAAAGAGTACGTTTTTTATTTCAAAGCATTCAAGTGTTTTTATTATTCGAACGCACTTACAACATGGTATATTAAAGTAAATTATAGGTATATTTTTGGATTTTATTAACCGCTAGGCAAAAAGCCCGCCTAGACCAAACGACTTCTACGAAAAAATTGTTCAAAATTGAATTAAATTTGCTATCCTCCTCCATACAAACCATTCAGAAATAAGAACAAACGAAATAAGACGAATACATCTGAAAGACATCAAACAATAACTAACGATAGACTTTCTTTATTTCAGACTTCAAAGAAAGAATATAATTTATGGACGTAACCTTTTTGTACACTCAAGAAATATTTCTTTATTGATCGTCTTAGAATTTCCATAATTTATAACAAGCCTTGTTAAGCAAAATAGCGAGTCTGCGGAAATAAATAAAAACAAAATATAATTGAAGATCTATTGTTATTGGCCCTTCAAACATTGGCGGCTCGTACTTAGGTTGTACGGCTGCACAGCCCTCAGATATAATCGAAAAAGATCTCTCTAATATCTTAGGAATATACATTTTCTTTTTAAATACATTCAATATATCAAGATTTTGCAGCAATATCATGTATATGAAATCGTTTTGAAACAAAAGAGAATCCAACTGCCACTTTCTCTGGTGCATTGCCAGGTATCGCACTACACCCTTGGATCTTTTCTGTATTACTGGGTTTACTGCATTTAATCTTTGGTCCATCGATTTAACATTGGTAACATAGGTCCCTTGGTTGGGCAAAAAGACGGGTGGCGAAGTTTAGCGCTGCGCGGCGACGGAGGGAGTCTCGGGGGAATACCAAAATTCTATCCTCGTAATTTTATGAATTCCGCTCATTATTGAAAGAACACACGTTCAGTCAATTATTGACGGCATTTAATGCATTATTTGTGATGTTTAGAGAATTTGTTTTAATTTGATATTAGATTTACCGATTTAAAATTCACACTTTATGATTCTTTGTGTAAATTTGACCGGTCTGGAATGAAGTCCCTTTCTTGGAAGATGCAGCAGGCAGCAATTACACCACGGAGGGTGTAACGTGGAGGGTGGATTGCGTGCGCGAGCGAGCGAGTGCGTGCGCGTGCGTGGGGAGGGGTGGAAGGATCTTAGTTATTTATAAAATATACCAGTGATACTTTCGAAACAAAATAAATTTATTTGAGTGAAACTTGTCTAAGCAAAGTGCTTGTTGCGATGTGCTAGAGTCTAATGTAAGTGTCAAGAGGAAATAAAAGCCTGAATCACGTGCGCGGGAGGTGTATAATATACCGTCAGAGTGAAAAAGAAACTGCATCGATGGACATATACGTACGAATCATCATAGATAACAAAATATCCCTAAATATTAATAGTAAGAAAATGAAAATGGTAAAAAATCAGAATAGAAAAGAGGCTCGAGTGTCTTAGATGGACGGAATAGTACAAGCCTTCACGTGAGAAATGCCATGCATCATTAAAGCTGCTACGACTCTTGTAACAGAAAGACTAAATTATTCATGGAATGCTGAAGCTGAATAGATATTTAATCATTATGAATTAATATCGTCTTTGGGTTTACAGAGTTGTTTATGTAACGATCTTGTTATTCAATGCAGTAGTTCGAAGCGTCGTACATAGCGAGTTCTCTCTTCGTCGATTTCTCTTCTTACGAGATCTCAATGCTCGCGCACTGAAAAGTAAATAAAATTAAATAAAATAAAAAAATTAAAAACTCCCCTGAAAGATGCAGTGTTAGGTTACAATTATAAAGAGTTGCTTAGGAAGATTGAAAAAAAAAAGGAACGATAAGGGAAAAGTACATATTAAAGACTCATTTGAGGGACCGATTGTTTGTGCGCGTTGAACTACTCTTGACATTCTCCACTAGAAATTCTGGTATTTACCAAAACTTTCGTATGTTTACATGCTAGGCTCTTACGTAGTCACCCTCTGAACCCCCCCCCCCCATTCCTTCTAGCCCCGAGGTCTCGAAGCAAAACTCGACAATAGCTAGTGAGCGGAGATCGATTATGTTTCTGGTTTCATGTAGAGACAAATACATTTTTAGGTCGCGCGAAGAATAGAAATTAATAATGTTCCGCCAATTCAGGCTTAAGAAAGAAATTTGTTTGAAAGTGGTACGTTCCATGGAGGATTCATGTTAGACCGGCTTCTGTTAGCGTTTAAACCTTTTTGGTCATGGTACAATAACTGCCCAATGATAATTATTTTCATCATAAAATATATGAATGACCTGATATATATCCTGACAGTCAAAACCATTACATTTCTGAGACGCTTAAAACAAATGTGCAATATAAATATTTTGAGTCGTTTAATAAGTAAAATATACTTAATGATGACAACAGAGACCTGAAAAATTACAACAAAAAAATAATTCAATTTGATTGCCAATAAAATCAACTAAAATTTCAGTGTCAAGATAAAGATGCATTTGAAACGAATTGAGATTTACGTTTGCCGTTTACCTTTTTCTTGAACCTGGGAGCAATTGCATATGGTAAGAGATCGCCTAGAACACACACAAGCATTGCGGAAGAAACAAGACGAAGATAAAACACTTGAAGTAACAGTGAATCTGAAGTAATGACTAATGAAATGCGTCGGAATCTAATGTTACTCATCACGATTTGATAGCTTTCACATGACTGTCCCCAAAGTTCAAAATATTGCTGATTGTTCATTACTATCTTTGATGAGTTATGTCAGCAAAAAAGTTTGACGACTTGCATTGTAGTAAGTACAAATTACAAAATGTTTCACTTTCTCTGTCAGACTTTTTCTATACTTATTTATGATTGTCGCCAACAGTTCTTTTTAAGCAAAGGTGTCTAATCTGATAAAATTAAAGTTTAAGTGAAACCAAGCAAACGGTGAAGAATGATTCGGTCCACAAACCAAGATTTTTGAGCTGGTTTCCCGCTTATTAATCTCGCTCACCCCGTCAAAGCAAGTTATACATTAGAATTCTTTGATGATTTTGCTTAAGCATAAAAGTAAAAATTCATCTAGATACGTTTTCAATATATTTCGAAAAAATTCTCATTAAAAGATCTTTTATACACCATTTAAGAATTGTTATTCCAAATTTGAACTTAAAATTACTTCGTAATGTTACTTGTATGAAAAGTGCCGAGTAGAAAATTGAATTATTAAATATAGCTGCTTTTTATTTTACCAAAACTATGACAAGGCAAAAGAGGATAAAATATTTGCTCTTACCACAATATTTTCATCCCATTAGATTTAATAAGGTGAAGTTACAATAGTAGCTCTGGAAGATATTTAATTGGAAAACTATCTCAAAACTGTATGTTCACACTTCCAAGGAGAGATTCTTCGAACTTCCGATTTTGTAACCTACTGCATTCCTTCAGGGATTTTATTTCTTCTGCGAAACAATTCTACTCACTATTTCACCAGAATTATTCACTAGAACTCTTTTGGAATCAGTAACTTGGAGGAGCTTGTTAACGAAGCTCTTTTAATTTGTATAACGTGTAAGAATTATTTTTGGTTTGAACTACGACGAATATGAAGTTAATGTTATAATGAAAATATGTAGAAATTATAATTTGCCAAACGTTATCTAACTGAATATTGAAATTCCAAAATATGAAAGCCCAACGGGCAATTAAAATCTCAGCATTAAACACTATGATTAAGGCTCAAATTTAATTTTTGAAAATACGGTACTCAAATATCATCCAGTTGTGTAATTTGATTTTCAGTTTCTTTAGAACAAAAAAATATATATTGTAATTCGTTCTAATGTATCATATGATGGGAAGAGACATATGATGCCAGAGACTAGCATGGAAATTTGAGAACATTTCATTACAGTCCTTGTTCCTGAACAAGCTCTTGTTACTATGGGCCATCGAATGTGAGGATCTGCCCATACCCGGACGTAGGATTGGGAGTAGAGAAAGAGTGAGGAACGAAATAATGCGTTTTGTGGTAATAGCCCGTTTTTTAATGGTACTGCCCCGCCCTTCGCCTGGAATTTATCCAACGAAACCACGAAAACTACTAATCAGAACGGCATTCCTATAGAATTATCATCGAGGAAGTGACATCGCTCGATTAACCAAAAACTCTTACAATCCCGTTTTGAACCCAGATCTCTCTGGTCTATGAAGTTTCCCTACGTAAGTGAACCACAACCATTTTAGCTCACACATACTGTACCGAAAACAACTTCACGCAATTTTTTTTGTTGCCAAAAAACCTAGCCTAGATCGTGTAATATGGAACTTTTTAAAAAATTTTTGAAGGCGGTGGAGTGCAGACTTCGGTTCCCTGGGCGTTTCCTTAGTTCAACCATCAATTTCAGCCATGAATTTGGTTACATCTATTTCGTATTCTACGAAACTACGAAAGACGTTCATCTTATATTTTGAAGTGACCATGAAAAAAGGGCAGTCTCAATCTTTGAGGCATCCATTCTAGGAAATAATAAGTGGCGAGTAGTGACATTTTTGCGAAGTCAGAAGATCGAATATCCGGGCCTACATTTTTTCTAAAGCTACTGGGAGATGAGATATTCGAAATGGTTCTTTTTCTGTCTTACAAACAACGCTCATTTTTCTGTTGTTTCTCCACATTAGTTTAAATTATTGTTCTGAATATCTTAGGCCTATATTGATATTTAACATACCATGGAGTTATTCGGTTGAATTGAAATGCGATCAACTTTTCTTCTCTTGAGCTTCAGCTGATTTTGTAAGGGCATTTAAATTATAAAATCTAGCACAACTCAAATATTGTTGCTGACCATTTTAAAAATTATTATCGGCTTGAGATTATATATTATATATATATATATATAATTATATATTATATTATAATTAAATCGATACTACCAATGCCACCTATATTTCAGGCCTTGGAGATGGTGGCCATCTTTGGGACGTCACGCTTAGAAAGCTTAGATACCCCTATCTTATACCATTTCAGTTTTCTTTGTACATCGTGGTTTGCGCAGACAGACGAGGTTTATTTGCATAATCATCAATTCAAGATTCACTCTCGTAACAACAACTAGAAGTAATATTAATATTTGCTTCATTCCGAGGAAAATTGTTTCTTATGAGTAGTGAAAAGATTCATTTAACGTTTTGCCAAGATCTATAAGTGCTTTCCTAACTAATTGCGGAGGGATGTGGGTGTACAGTGCAGAGTGAAGATGCGTCTTGTTAGATTTGGTTCGTGTTTTACCTGTACCAGTATTTTCGTTATCAGCAGTAATTCGGTGAAACTTGCAAGTCAGCGTGTCCAGTCACGTAACTTTATCAAGAATATTATGTGAATTGTATATAATACTGAATAAGCCTTTATTGAAAATTTGTTTCCAATATCAATTTCATTTTTACATCCTGGATGTAGGAAGTTTCATTTAAACATTTTGTAGCAAATAAACGCGTTTTATTAACAACTTTCCTTCTTAATGGAAAGGATAGGGAAAGGGAACAAGAGTTCTCGCACGGGTACACTCGGTTTTTTTATTTCAGCAAACTAAAATATACTAAGGTTGTTTCATAACTCATTAATGCATGGCAAGTAATAGAATCGTGATAATATCTGCAAAAGGGACAAAGAATTAGGAGGTACTAAATAAACACCGCAACGCCGCACTCAAGTTTATTCTTAGACTTCGAAATGCGGGCCTTGCCAGGCACGGCCGGGAACTGCCGATCAGCCACTGACTAGGTGCGCTTTTTTCCATGCAAAATGATAGTAAGGCCTCGCCAACCCTAGTGCAAGCGGTGCACCGCACAAGGGCAGCAATAATGAAGGCATTTTTTAACATTACATTATTTTCATTTTATTTTAAACGGAAAAAAAATCCTCTTATTTACAAATATAAAAAAAATAGTGTTAAAATGACGGGCCGAAGAAATGCACTAATACAGAATATAAGTAGTACAAATATGGAGATTTCAATTTCGAACAATATAATTTCTGTTACATTTATTACTCGTATGGCAACTGTGAAGCTAAAAAACGTTAAGTTAAAATAAAATTAATCAAATGTACTTAATGGAAAAGTTTTACTGCCCGAGGCTACCGGGACCTTTTAAATCTCTATAGGAAGGCGCCCTCCCCCCCCCACCCCTTCTCACACCTAAGCTCTTCATTTCTACGCGGAGTGGCGGCCTGCGATCGCGCGTGGTCGATAGCTCGCGGCTATTGTGGGAGTGCACGGCGCGCGGGTGCAACGGCGCGCTGTACTCCGAAGCACCCGCCGCCGCCGCCGCCACCACCACCACCAGGGCGCGTTGAAAGCGAGCGCTCCCGCCCTGCCCCGCCACGCCCCCTCCACTTCCTCTTCCGCGGCGCGCACTCGCACCTCTGCCCCCCGCGGGGGCGCTACACTGCGCTGCGGTTCCAGTCACCGCGACGCCTGTTGCTCCCCGCTGGGGACTGATTTCTGCGCCTCCGGTGCAAGACGCTTTCAGACTCGCCATCTACTCAAATTCAACGGAGTACCGACCACTCAACATTGCGTAAAACTCGGAATAGTTTCTCGCGACCAATGAATCATGAAATTGGTCGCATTTTATTTATCGACTTGCATTTATCACTTGTACCATGACGCAGGTTTGTAGCAGGTATGTCTTTGAAGAGTAATTTTAAGACATTCTGTACACTCCAGATATTGTACAAGTACAGAAAAACATCTAACCTGGGTTTCTAAGAGTAGTGCTATGGAATGTAGTCTACTAATTGTTTTGCAGTACAGTAGTGGAAAAGTTCGAGGAGAAGAAGAAAGCAACTGGTATCACTGGAAATGAAACTGGCTGCAAAACGGAAGGCTGAATAGGGGGAGAGGCTCTAAATAAAACTGCAATGCATGTAGATGATTAAAGGGCAGCCCACCCCCTCTCCCTCAGAAAAGTATGTTCAATTTTAAAATAACCGTTAGATTTAAGAGTAAAGATATAAATCTTCATGTAGGAAACCCCCCATATTTTAACACGTATACAAAACTCAACATCCTCTCAGTTCACATTAGTTCGAGATCGCGAAACTGTTACATGCCTCTGGCAAAAGAGAAGTTGAAACGATACTCCGTACCTGAAAAATCTCTTGTCAAATGTCACCTACACTAGTAGCTTACCACTCCGGCCGCGTATGAATATTCGCGACAAAATTGTGCCATGGGAAAACTTGAAATAGCTGCATGGCAGAGCGCGCAAGGAACGCGTTAGCGATGATCTGCCAAAATTACCACTTTTGCATCTCGATCACCTTTCTTTAAAAATTGCTCCAGTCCCAATTTTTTCCACTTTTTATATTATGCATAGAATCTTTATAAATTCAATACTCCTCAAATCACAGAGAAAATAAATAAACATTTCAATTATTTAGAAAAACGTTACGAATGTTTTTTCAAATTATCCTGTAACAAACATTTTCAGTGATCTTTTGAAGGTGGAATGAGTTAAAGACCAAGACCTAGAGAGAAGTCCAATATACTTCAAAACATTTTTTTTAAAAAAGAAGAAGCACCTCAAACTTTGATAATGTGCGCAACACTGCACTTTTTTAATCGTGAAAGAACGAAGCACAGTTTTAAGTAGGATAATCGATAGAGCTAGTAGCTTCTCTTCCCGAGTTTCTACATTTTTTGTTTGTCAAAGAAAACCACGAAACTTTCCAATTGCTATTAAGGACATTGCCAACAATAGAACGTTAATTCCAATCGAACATTTCTTTTATAAATGCTCAAGTTATATAACACCTTTCATATTTTAAGTGTTTAAAAACACTGCAAATGAAAATGTTTATAAATCCTCAAAAGGGGGAAGATTAAGGAAATAAATTCACACACGTGTCTTAGAACTTTTGTGAGGGACAGATGGGACATTTTTAAAGAAATCAAGAATTGAACACTTATTACATTAGGATTATAGAACAAAACCTTAAACCATGATAATTACGTAATATTTTATTTAACATTTGTATCGTGAAGCATCCGCGGATTTTATGTTCTCTTAGAATTGCAATGTTTCAGGAAAGTCTTTCTGCACCGAGCCGAATCAGGGCTTCGAACTAAAAACTGCATTTTTGTTGGTAGCAGCCAGATCACTGGGAAACAAGTGAAGGGGACAACAGTTTTAGAACCTGTTATGATTGTCGTGAATATACAATTTACGTTTTCTTTTGTTACAAGCTTCAGTTCGCGCCACCAACAATTTCTCCTGCAAGCACTGTCACAAGCAAGGTGCCACTGCGGAGAGACTTTCCTAGCGCCTATCTTCACGGAGGAAACTTATTCGAACAGGTACGTCTACCCGAAAACCTGAAACGCCCAAGCGAGCCTTTCGTAAAACCGTCACGGAGCTGTTGCAATGTTTGGAGCGCGTGGCCAGGCGGCGCGGCGCCCATCACATTTGTCGGGACGAT